CCTTTTCCGCAGTCGCCTTTGCAACAGTCTTCTCCCCCTTTTCCGCAGTCGCCTTTGCAACAGTTTCCTCCCCCTTTTTCGCAGTCGCCTTTTCCACAGTCGCCTTTGCAACAGTCTCCTCCCCCTTTTTTGCAGTTGCCTTTTCCACAGTCATCGTTTCCGCAGTCTCCTTCCCCTCCATCTCTTTGAGTTATTGTAGCTGAACGGTTAGCTGTGAGTGTCAGTAGAGCTCTGCCAACTCTAACATGCTTCTTTCTCTGAAAACACAAGCATTTATAAATGTCAGGTAAGGTAGAACAAAGGTGAGGATGAGGGTTAATATTTACTTAAAATATTATTTTGTACAGTTACATTAGAAGTACAACTACACAACTATAAATTGGATGGACTTCTGTAATTACCCGTCTGTTGTTCATTCCAAACAAAATGTCATTTTGATCGCTGGGTTTAAAGCCTAAATCTTTATCACAAGAAGCAGATATATTCAGCACCACTTCAAGAGAGGAGAAGATGTTCCAAACTCTGAGTTTTGCTTCTATAGAACCTGTAGAAAAACACACGGAAAAAATCAATGAATCAGCAGTAGAATCTGTAAATATTCATGTTTCAGACATTTTGACTGACATCAAATTCGGGTGGCTGTAGCTCAGGAGGTAGAGCAGGTCATCTACAGTCCTAATTAGAAGGTTGGTGGTTTGATCCCTGGCAGCTCCAGTCTGCATCATACCAACCCAATGCATCCATCAATGTGAGTGAATGTGTATGAACATAAATTGTAAGTTGTAAGTAAGTTGTGCAAAGCACTTAGAGTGCTTAGGCAGAGTAGAAAATGAGATGCATTAACACTATGGAATACCTGTGTTATCAATTTCAAAATACTATATCGCCTTATTCGTAGATTATCATTCACAAGATTTTTGGAGAACTTGATCTTTGACCCTGAGGTTGAGGTCACCGAGCGTCTGAGACTTTTAGTAGATACACCTATGATATCAATTTGAACGTCCTATGTTGCTTTGTTCTTGAGTTATCACATTCACAATCTTTGGTATTCATCATGCCCGCCCACCTGGCAGAACGACAACAATACCTTCAATTAGCCTTTTATGGCTGAGGGGTAAAATGCACTACTTAAGAAGCAGTCCATTTACCATTTACATTTTAAAGCTCACCTTGAATTGGGTTTTCAGTTTCAAACATTTCCTTTCTGGTATTCATTTGTCTGGTTTCAGTGAACAAGCCATTGTTTCCAGAAAGAGAAAACAAGAGCATCACAGGCTCTCCTCGTACAAGGGAAATATCAAAAGTAATAAATGGGGAATCTAAACATTCATCGCCCGCTGTCAACACAGAGGCCTGAAGTCCAACTATTTTCTCCAGAACACACACCTGTGGGATAAGCAGAATTACAAAGCAGAGGAACACATTAATCAGATAACAGAAGCAGATAACACGTTAATCTGATAACACATTAATCTGGCAATTAGTGTTTACTATGAAAATACATTAAAGATACATTAAAAATACTCTACAAAGCATTTTAATTCAGTAAGAAATTGTCTGATAAAGAAAAATCTTGACATACTAAATTGTGACTGTCTATGAGAAGAATAAAACTGTCATGGTCTGGGTGAGTGCGGGGTTTTTCCACTCTGCTGGGCTCCACGTTCAGGCGGAGACTCCAATCAGCCTTCACACCTGATTCCAATCAAGTCACCAGCATATAAGACCAGCGCTCACAACAGACCCCTGCCAGATCTACAGCTAACTCACTACCTGCCTGGGCGTTGTGCTTCTCAAACTGAACTGCACCTATCTCTGTCTGGATGCTGGTTTCCTGATATCTGGTTGTAACCCCCTCAATCGTGGCACTTCGCCTGCCTGCCTCCCTGCCAGGCCTGTTGCTATAAGTGTATTCCAGACCCTCCTTGGACCTCTTGCATGCCACTTTCACCTGCTACGTGTAAGCCATAACCATCATAGTTGAATCCACCGACTGACATTCACTAGACTGCCACTGACTGCCTGTCTCTTCTTGTTATAGTGACTCTGCGTACCTCCACCCAGGCCGCTGCCCCTTTTCCCTCCCCAGGATCTGGTCACGAAATCTAGCATCTAGTCTAGTGTGTGAATGTGTGGATGACTGGACGTGTAAAGCGCTTTGGGGTCCTTAGGGACTAGTAAAGCGCTGTACAAATACAGGCCATTTACCATTTAGTCATAGCGCACAGTCTGAGCTCCATGTTCCATAGTCTGGCCTCTTAGCCTTCACAGTCCATAGCCTACATTATTTCCTGCTCTGTAATTAAACTACGCACTGTAAATAAAGCACTGTATTCACTCCAGTTTTGCCTCCCTCTGTGTCTGCATTTGAGTCCACACTCACCGCCTGGCCCTCTCGGCCGTAACAAAAACTTCCAATATATTTCCAGAGTTTTTGTGCCATGCAAAGAAGAGCAGGTGAGCTGAGCTTGCTGTTTATGGAGGTTAGCTGGCAGCTGAGTGACATCAGACCTTGTGGTTTAATTTTGATTAAACTTAGATCAAAGGCACATTTTTACACTATGTTCCTTGACTTAAAATGACTGATTACCTTAATGGGGACAGGATGAAAGTGCAGACTTTTAAATTCATAGTTGGTATGAAAAAAAAAGATAAAAGGAAATAATTGTGAATTTAATTGAGAGAGATGTTCTTGTCTTCCCAGATATTTCCCTAATTATCTGAAAGAAGTTTTATAATTAAAGGTTAAATTTAATTAAGAATTTTAAACAGTCTAATTTTTCAATCAGTACTCAAATTCTTTATTCATATGATCACCATGCTCAACAGAAACCTGGGGATGATACATCATTATTTTTGTTACTGTTGTACTAAAAGAAGACTATTAGTTTGATTTTCTGTACCTGCAGGTCTTTGGACACTTCAAGGAATGTGACGGTGTTAGACGCATAAAGTGTCAGATGGTGGCAGCCAGACCCGAGCTGCGTCACTATTTCTGATGTCACTGTGACGTTCTGGGGTTCAGTTCCTCTGACCACAGATAAACCGGACAACGGCTTTTCATCAGCTTCGATTCTGTAGGTCACATTCGTACCTAAAGAATAGAAAACAAATAAAACTTAAGTGACAGTAAAAGTCAAAGATGATTTCGGGAAAAAAACAAATATATGCTCAAACTAAAGCCGATGCTGTTATGTAGAGATATCAAAATTTCAACTGAATTATTTGATATTAGGTTCACTTCGGTACCTACCTGCTTTTACTTCCATTTGAATATGAAAGGCTTCTCCATACAGGGCTTTGCAGTTGGTTTCATAAAAAGACAGGTTTCCAGCATAGCACTTGATAACACCGATCTCTGCAACAGGCTCTTGAATCGTAATTATTTTCTGAGCAGTAATGTGCATTTCACTGCAAGTGCATTCAGCTGCCACAATAAAGGCACTTGGATGAGTGTATTTGTGCACCACACTGCTCTCCAACCTGAGCAAATTCAAAAACAGGAATCAGCGTGTTTGTTTGAGCAACACTATTTCAGATATGCCACACAACCATTAAGTGCATCAAAATCAAATTAAACAAACAGCCATTAGCATCAAATGGTTTTTAATCCCAGTGTAATGGTGTAATGTGTCATAAAAATGAAATCTTCCTGACTCTTAAGTCTTTAACAAAATGTTGTCTGCTATCACTGAAAGACTTTGGTACTTTAGTTGTAAGTACAAATTCAAAAGATGTTGCATGTGCTTGTTCACAACTGAACAACAACACTGAACCAGTGGTCCCTCCAGGAAGATCTCTATTCCTGACTCCAGGGTGAGTTTGCTGGTAGTCAAAATCTGTCAGAAAAAGGGTGATGCACTAAAAATCTTCTCGAGGTTGCCATGGATTGCTTGCAGATCGCCACAGTTACCTGCAGACTGGAGCGACTCACCAGCTACTCGCTGAGTACAAAGTGCCCAGATCCCATGGGTGCAAAACAAGCCCAAATCATCAGCCTTCCAACACTTTGCTTGACAGCTGGTAGGAGGTGTGAGGTCCTGACATGCTGATATATGTTTGGGCTCTACCAAATGGGTGGCGGTGCATTGTAGCCAAACATCTCCAATTTGGTCTCATCTGGTCAAAGAACATTGTTTCTGAAATTTTGCAGTTTGCACAAACATACTCCGTGCTGCCATGTTCTTTTAGAGACAAGATGATTTCTCCTGGCAGCCCTTCAAAGCCAGCCATGCTTCTTCGAATTATTCTGTCATGAATTTTAATGTTATGAACGTTAGCATGTGGCCTGAGACCTGTGGAGTCTTACAGTAGAATGTTTTTATTATTTTTGCGCAGTCTCCTTGGGGTAAATTGACAGAGACGTTCAATCTTGTGATCGTTAATCAAGTGCTTTCCTGCAAAGAAGCGCAAGGATATAACATAGAAGTCCTCAATCCTTTAGAGAATGCTCGACATTCAACTTGTTTAAGGCACAGGTTAAAAACTGGTTATGGACAAATCAAGTGTGTGATCATGTATAAGTTGCATAGTTTTAATATTTTATTTGGGAATAGAACGGTGTGTATGTGTGAGTACTTTTAATGTTTTATGGACAACAGATGGAAATTAGCCCTTGGCTATAATCTGGCATGTTTACATTCATGTAATTTATTTTACATTTATGTTCATTAACATGCACTGTCCTAAATAAATTAAATTAAAGTTTACCTAATGCCTGTGAGTATATCATAATGGTTTTCTGGACATTACACACAGAACGTCTAATAAAGTTTTTAGGGTTTTTTTTGGCGATTTAAATGGGAGAAATTGGGTGAATAATGCAGTTCTTCAAAAATAACTGAACTTACATCTGCTGATCATTCCTGCATTTATTCCCAGTACCTTTACTGAAAGTGGCTGCAGTTAAAAACAGGTATGCAGTCTAGTGGCTCGCTTATTAATTTCCATTTGGCATTCAAAAAACATTTATAAATAAAAACATTAAATTTTTAAAACATCCCTTTCCTTGCAAAATAAGACATCTTGCAGATTATCAATATGTGACCTGTTTACAGATTCAGCTAACTTATAACGCTGATGGAGATGGTACACAACTTTCCTCCAGCTTTTGTACAAATGACTTTGATAGCAGCATGGTCCAACTGAAGTGCGGTGTGGCTGTTTGTATCATTACATTTCATGGTTAAATTCAACATAAGGATGAAATAAGTTGCACATTCACTATGATACAGGTGATGATTGTGTGGTGAACAGATGTAGCAGATCCAGCTAAAGATATAATGGATTGTTGTGGTTCACACTTTCATAGTGAACTTTGTTAAACTTTCACCAAGCTCATGTTGTCACATGTCAGAGCAGTGAGACCAATTACACAAACAATGCTGACGCAGGCTCATGACACGCTCAACTGTTGACTGATTTTTTATTTATTTTGTAGACTGCATTGCTTCTTCTAAGTGCTGAGCCTTTTATAGCTGAAGCGTCAAAACCTTCTCTGGCATGGTTCCTAGGCTGCATCCTACTTCTAGATGCTGTAATGTTTCTGTTGCTGTGCGCCTTGTCAGCTCTGGTAAACAAATTACTGCCGGCTGACGTAAAAGGCATTACTACCAGTACAGCAGTGACTGTCGCCACAGACACCAGGATTCAAAACTGAAACTGTGCCCTCCAAAAACAGGAAATACAGATTTAATCACCACTGATTAACTGATTACGAATGAGCTTGAATCTAACAGATGTTCATTTCTATATGACAGTCCCACACACCCACCCACACAAATGTAGTATGTAAAAGCACAAAAAGCCAGTGGGATGCATTTGGGAATCACAGGAGGTGAGCTGGGTGTTGGCGAGCTGGAAACTGGAAACAGAGTAGATTGATTGGATTAATCAGTCCATCTGGTGAATTCCCCCGCCAGATGGACTGAAGACAATTGGCAGGTGATTTTGACACAGTGTTAGGAGTGATGGGGAAATTTTTAATTTCTCTACTTTGTGCATCTTTGTCTCATCTGTCATCCCTCCATTCATTTTCCTCCGTTTGTCCAAATCAGGGTGGAGCCTATTTCAGCCTATCCTTCCGCCTGTGACTTGGAAATCAGTCTGATTAGTTTATTGAAGGCTCTCTCACATTGTTGAGCAGAAGAGGAGGCTTGTCCGAGGAGCTACAGTTGTATATTGCAAAACTTGTTTTTTCCTGCCGTGATGCGTGAATGAGGAGTGCTACACCTCTGTAACATACAAACTATCCTCAAACTGGGAGTCTACACAAAAAATGAGGGTTTTTTTTCCATATCGAAGAAGAAATAACTGCTTTGCAGAGGAAGCAGCTGTGCCGCATAAATTTATTGTCATTGCTTTTAAATAGCAGCCTGGAGCAACTGTCTCAGTATGTTAAGTGCCCGTTGCACTGACTCCTTGCTCCGCCTGTTTCATCCTCATCTCCTCTGCTCGTGTCTCAGGTACGATGGACTAAGTGCACTGAGAGGATGCCAAGGAAAGGAATCAAGGATGTGCAAAACTTAGTAACAAGAAAGCAGGATAGAAGGCAAAAACAAAACTTTGACACCTACACAAAAATAACTAACCTCATGTGGAAAATAATGCAGAAAATGTTCTTTAAACTCATGGCTGAAAAAACCTAAAGATTATTAATGTTGATACTCACCCTTTTGGATTGTTCAAATTAATTACATGGCCATCTCCTGTGTTCACTCTGCAGCTAAAGTTTGTCAGGGGTGAATGTAAAAGCCACTTCACGTGGATTCTGACGTCACCAAGAACCACAGCGGTGGGATTAACTGACAGTGCGAGCCCTGTGGTGTGGGAGGATGACCAGAAATATTACAAAGCGCTTGTAGCCCAGCGAGCAAAAAATAGACAAGCGCATGATCTCAACAGATAGAAGCACAGATACCATAGAGGTTATTCAATGCAGGAGCATGATCTGATTTTAATGTGATCTGAGCAAAAAAATAAGAAAACAGCCCAAAGAAATAAACTGGAAATGCAGCCTTTGTTGTCAACTATAGATTGGTTTGTACTTTTAATGGGACTGGTCATATATATATTTCTGGGGTCCGTGCCATTTAATGATTTATAAACAACCGAAATTACTTTAAATTAAAAATGCAGGGAGCTGAGAATTGGAGTTCAGTCGCATTTTGAGCTAACTGTAGCTGTCTCATAGTGTTTCCAAAAACAGCACTCCAGTACTAAACTCTACACGAATTAAAGACCTGTGAGCTTCTCCAGATCTTGCTGGGGCACAAATCTCCCAGTTTGACTTTATTTCAAAGATGCCAGTAGGCTGGTTAAGTTTCAACTTTCTAAAGTAGATAGTGGGAAAACTGGAACCTTTTTGTTATTTAATCGTTTGGGTGTTGTATTTGCCAATGGGAGTTCAGTCTTTATCAGAAAAATTATGACAACACAGCCAAGAGTTCAAAATCTATGTACTCTGTCACATTTCCTAAAGCCTTCCAGCAGGACAGATTGTCATCTTTGCCCGGCCAATTCTGGCCCTCCAGCCTTATCTGTGACACCCCTGGTATAAGCCATTCCTGTCAGGTACAGGTAACGTGACTGAGCCTAGAGTTTGCACAGGCTCATCGTTGGAAAAACACTGTCTGGTCTGATAGGTCTCAATTTCTGCTGTGACATTCAGATGTTAGGATCAGAATTTGGTGCAAACAACATGAAATGATGGAGTCAGCAGTTCAGGTAATGCTGTGGGGGATATTTTCTTATCATACTTTGGGCCCCTTGGTACCAACTGAGCATCCTTTAAATGCCAAGGCCTACCGGAGAATCACTGGTGACCATCCTGTTGTAACCACAGCGTATCATCTACTGCTAGTGGCTTCCAGCAGGTTAACACACTATGCCACAAAGCTCAGATCAGCTCAAGCTTGTGTCCTGAGGATGACAACGAGTTCACTGCACTCCCAGGACCTCCACGTCACCAGATCTCAATCCACAGGAGCACCTTTTAGATGTGGTGAACAACATGTTCACATCACAGATGTGCAGCTGCAGCAGCTGCGTGATGCTATCGTGTCAAAATGGCCCGACGTCTCTGAGGAATCTTTCCGTTTTGAATCTACCGATGTTGAGATAAGGGTCACTGTAGAAGCAGACCGTGTCTGATAGTTTGACCTATAATATAACTTGTCAGTGAAACATATAAAATGAATTTCAATGTGAAGCTTGGATTATTTGTTTGACATTTACCTGAACAGCTGCTGCTGCCAAATAAATAAATAAAAACCCTCAGTACAGCTAGTCCTTTTCCTTTTTACGTTGCTATTAACATTAACAATCCATCTGTTCTGTCCAAGAACTCCAGTAAAGTATGAGAGTGATGAGAAGAGACTGTGCTCCTGTCTCTGAGTGAAACTTTAAATTGCTCATCAAAAATTTGGAAACAATTGGAGATAATTTATCTGAATTTCAGGAGCGGGACCAAGGCTCCAAACACACCCCTTCTGGGTCTTATCTATATATGACCCCCCAGTTCTACAAGATGTTCGTTCTCATTTTCGTGCCCCACCCTCCCCCCTTTTTTTTCTTTCACTTCTTCAGTTGTCATTAGTACATCGGGATCTGCCAGGCGAGACGTCGCTACCGATGGAGACAAACTCAGACCTCCATGAAATGATAAAGTTATGTTAATCTTCCTACTATGAAGTAAAGTGTTTTATTTCTGAAACTGCCTTTGTGCTATTTGAGGTAAATAATGCTGTTTTAATAATTCTCCTTGGTTAAACAAGTGGGAGAACTTCAAATCTTTGTGAGCCATATTTTTATCTTCACACTCACCAGAAGTGAAATAAGCCACAGAGTGTGAGAGAAATTTATTGGCACTGTTTTGAGAGCTAGATTGGCAGCATTTTAATTGGGGTTCTAACGCCTGCATCAAGCATCATCAGCTATAGTTAATCTTATTCTAACACTTTACTGGCTCCTAACTACTCTGTGTAGTACTCTAAGTGGGAAAATTAAACAGATGGGATAGAAAAGAACAGACACACGCTGCCCTTCATGGATTTAGAAAGTGTGATTCCACTTTAGAGAAAAAAAAAATGAAATTAACCTGAGCACAGAACCGTGACCTACCGTCTTTGCAGTGATAGTCCACAGACAGGTAGCTCTTCAGCTGAGGACAAGGGTCAGCAAAGGAGTTTGCAACTTCAGCGATCTGGCAGACCTGTCGGCCGTGGCAACGAGCTGGGAATCACAGAAGAATATGATTAGCTGCTGCTAGCACACACTGTCACACGCACACACACACATGTACGCTCCAGTGGTTTCAGCAGTGTGAAACGTTTTGCATCTGTTCATATCTTAGTTCATGCTTTGACGACAATATGCTTCTTAGCTACCAAAATCAAAGGCAAATAAATCCCTTCAACCTCACGCACAGAGAGGGGCTTCATAATCTTGAGACGCTAAAAAATATGAAAAGAGTTGTGATAAACTTGAGATTATACTTATGGTTTGTAGAAATGAACAATATCAACGTTTTAATGCAGTGACTGGGCTGCAAGAGAAACAGCAGCACTGATGTGTTTATGCTGTGTTCATGTAACATTTTTTAATCATAATTATCCATCCATCCATTGTCCAATTCAAGGTTAAAGGGGTGCTGTCTCAGGGCAAAAGACAGGGTACCCTGACAGTCTGTATCAGGACTAACACAGAGAGACATGCTCACATTCACGCTGAGGGCCAATTTAAAATCATCGAAAACTGCCAAATGTGTGTCCATTTACTGCAAATGTTAGTTATGCCAATATAACAACAAGAAACAAGAATATAGCCAGTATCTTTTTTGCCGTGTACACATCTACTATTTGGCTTTAGCAAAGATCGATGGCCTAAAACGTTGATTCTGTTTATCTGGACGTAGCGTTTTCAGCGGGGGAAACGTCACTCGCCCAGGTGACTTCTTCAGTCTCAGCTGACTGCAAGTTTCCAACATTATAAACAGTACATTTGTACAATAACTGAAACTAGCACCACTGAATGAACAATGGGCTGTGAGGTCAGTTTCTTGATCATTAATATGCAAATTGTCATGACCATTGATCAGCAACTACTGATCAAAGATCATTGATCCATGGCCATGAGTCCCATTCACAGAGAGTTGGGGAATGGCTGCAATCACAGCATTGTAAGACGGTGACAGATGTACCCTTAGGCCCCCTCCTCGATTCAGAGATGGTCTTTCCCTTTTCACGTAAATGGCCTCCTTGACTCTGCGCTCAAACCAGCGCTCCTCCCTGTCCAGGATGTTACATCCTCATCATTGAGAGAGTGTCCACTGGCGTAGGTGTAAATAGGCTGCAGAGTCCTGGCCTGACGAGGTAGCTCTTCTGTGTTGTGCCAACCGCTTCACCAGAGGTTGTTTGGTTTCCCAGATGTATAAATCCTGGCAATCCTCCTGGCACTTAACAGCGTACACTACGTTACTCACCAGATCCTTGAAGGTTCATTCAGTGGTGCTGGTTTCAGTCACTGTGTAAATGTACTGTTTATAGGGTTGGAAACCTGCAGTCAGCCGAGACTGAAGAAGTCACTTGGATGAGTGATGAGAAGTTTCTCGTCACTCAAAATGTTACATCCAGATGAACAGAATCAACTTTTGGAATTTACTTACCTGGATGATTGAGCGTGCATCAAGACAAAGACTAAAGGGTTTTTAAATCCTGCTCTTCACATACGAGGAATTGAATTTTCAGGCCCCATCTTATCGTAATGACCTTGTAGTACCATATCACCCTATTAGAGCACTTCGCTCTCGCTCTGCAGGCCTACTTCTTGTTCCTAGAGTATTTAAAAGTAGAATGGGAGGCAGAGCCTTCAGTTTTCAGGCCCCTCTTCTGTGGAACCAGCTTCCAGTTTGGATTCAGGAGACAGACACTATCTCTACTTTCAAGATTAGGCTTCAAACTTTCCTTTTTGCTAAAGCATATAGTTAGGGCTGGACCAGGTGACCCTGAATCCTCCCTTAGTTATGCTGCAATAGACGTAGGCTGCTGGGGGACTCCCATGATGCACTGGGTGTTTCTTCTTCAGTCACCTTTCTCATTCACTATGTGTTTATACACCTCACTGCATTTAATCATTAGTTGTTATTATTATTAATCTCTGGCTCTCTTCCACTGTGTGTCTTTGTCCTGCCTCTTTCCTCTCACCCCAAACTGCTTGCGTCAGTTTTTCCTTCCCACTGTTACCAAGTGCTTCCTCACTGGGGCTCATGTGATTGTTGAGGTTTTTGCTGTATACATTTATCTGACAATATAAAACAGTTTGAGGTGATTGTTATTGTGATTTGGTACTATAGGAATAAAACTAAATTGAATTAAATTGAACTAAAGTTTTACAGATAGCCTGTTTTAAAAAGATGATTTGATTGGACCATATCTGGTTGTTTCTGGTTGTTCTAATTTTGACAAGGAATACCAGAAGGCTTACCAGACTTATGGATGTAGAAATTATGCTGTAAAAATAGCCAGTAAAGCCTGATAAAAGGCTTTTGTTTGCAGTTGAGTGAAAGCCATGAATATTCCAAACTGATACTTTGAATGGTGGTCTGCAGTTAGTCAGTCATTTTAGCTGAGGCACATCCGCAGCATAGTAGATAAAAGGTGGGACAGTGCCTGGTACTAATCCATATGTAGAAATGTGCTTTTTATTGTATGTGTTTAATGATTTTGTACGTCACTAAAGATGCTATAGATTGGATGTGCAGTTTAAAAAGGTGAATGCGCTCCAAACCACAATGCGTGCTGAAAAGTCCTCCCAGTGCCCGAACAGGATGAAATGGAATCAACGTTAAACGATGACAAACGGCCGCCTGCTTCAGTCATCAGTTAAATTCAAAAGTCAATATTTACTCTGATAGATGGAAATCATCTATGTATCTTTACTGACAATTAAGCTTTTAAGCCATTATTGTTTGCGTTCTTACGTAAATGTCCCGATGGGCAATTATCTTTACAAAGAAGGGGCTCCAGTGAGACAGTGTGTTCTTTGTGATGTAAGAGATAAGGCTTCTACGTGGATAGAATTTCACCACAGTTTTCATTCATGCAGAACCTTTTATAAGGCGCCAGTGTTTGTTTTCTTACCCGAGTTCAGCAGGTTTAATGAGAGGGACCATTATGACGCTATGATCACTGTGCAGATTAGACCGCTCGCACATAAATTAGAATTACAAGATCAACAATGAAATAATGATGAAGTTATCTCTGTAGTTGCTGCACTCAGACGCCATTTGACCGTGTTTTACCTGTAATTGATTCTACAGCGTCCGCCCAGCCGCACTCATGTTGTGGGGATGCTGGTGGAGGGAACTTGGATCGACAGTAATGAATACTCTTACGACCGTAGAAGCCACCGTCTATCATCAACACCTGACCCGAACCACACTGCAGAGTGGTGTTACGACCCTCACACACAATGGTTCTCCCAGACTCTGAAAAGATTACAAGGCAGTGTAAAAGTAATTCTTCGTATGGAGTGATTCAGTGTGCAACACAGTCTTCGTCAGAATACTTACCAAACTGGCAAATAAAACTCCGGTTTTTGCTGCAGTTGTTTCTGGCCTCCCAGTGAAAGCCCGAGTTTCTCAGGACGTAGCCACAAGCTGCTCCAGGCTCTGGACTGCTCACCCACTTTGAATATGTGACGGGTGAACCATCGAGCCAAGAGAGATGACCTGATGATGCAAAAAAGCCAAAAAGCCCACTGATGAACATGCACGCATCAATAATGCATCTAGAGCAGAGCTCATTCAGTTTCTGTTACCATTTGGGGCTTACAAAAAGTTTATTATTATAAACTGCGGTCCAAGTTGACTCCAACTACTAACCTGGTGGGTGTAAGTTGGTTTTTTTTTAAGTGTACTTTATATTTTTACTTTGTGCAGAATTCTCAATCAGTGTGTTATATGAAGCCATTTCTCTCTATGCTGTGAAAATCTCAGTGGGAACAAATTTACCATAATTTGTCAGACTGCTGATTTCCTAGCTCTTTGTATTGTGCCGTGTTTAATCTGAGCATTCTCCACCATCCGAGATACAGAATTGATTTTCTGATTGATTTTCTAACCACAGGAGAAGAGAGCATTATCAGTGCAGTAAGAAAAAGGCGTCTTTGGTCGTTTAGTTTTGGAACTGATGCACAGTTCGTCCATGCAAACGTTTTGTTGTTAATGTTTGATTTAAAGTCATCAGTTAGAGGTCTGCTGGGAAATATCCACTAACAATAAAAACAAGTGTGACTTCTTACCTTCAGCAGATGGTGCCACACCAAACCAAAAGTCTTCCTTAGTGTCCATGTGTCTCTCGAGGAAGTACTGGGTGTCCTCGTCAGGGATAAAAGCAAGGTGTCCTCCATTCCCCTCACACCAAGCTTGAGCGCTAAAGAAAGAGCGCCGGATACCCACAAATTCAAAGCAAGAGCCCCCGAAAGCCCTTTGGTGTTCTGGACAGGTGACATTTGTCTCATTTTCAGCCAAAGAGTGACAGCTGAGTGTCATCAAGATCAGCAGGTGCAAAATTGCCTGGCACATCCGTTCTGCTCTCACCTCCAAAATCAAAAGTTAGTCTCACTAGTTCTCTTTTATCTTTTTTTGGAGGTTTCAGGTCTGAACTGATGTTTTTAAACAGAACCGAGTGACATCCTACAGCTGAGCGTGTCTGACAGAAGCACCGCTCACACACCCTTTTGTAGTTACTGTAGAACACTGTTGACGTACTATCGTAGCTTCAGAACCAACGAATGCATTTGCGTTTGTTACATAAACAGGAACAAAAGGGAATATGAAACTGATTACACAGTACTTACAAAAAAAATGCAAGCCTAGTAAGTCTGAAGGTTTACACAACGAGTCATCGCTATGTTAAAGAAAAACGAACAATTAAATTATGTTTTACTTCATTTTTTTAGTTAAATAATTTCTTTTCACCCACTGATGAAACTTTTTTAAAGTACACACGTGTGTGTGTGTGTGTGTGTGTGTGTGTGTGTGTGTGTGTGTGTGTGTGTGTGTGTGTGTGTGTGTGTGT